AAGGTCTTTCCCACCAACCAAACATTTTTGACACGTCAAAGCCTGGCATCACTTTTTTAATGTTCAGTGTTTTTAGGCATTTGTTTTGTGATCTACATATGTAATATTATGCTTCTCGATCAGCTGAAAGATCCTGACATGGAAAGTTGACTCAGCAAGGTTACACCGATAAAATACCTCACAAGGTATTTATAAACCTATAACCACTATAAAGTGTGAGGGATAATACTGGATTTCAAAATGAGCGTAAAAGTACAAAGCAAAAAATACAGCAGTTGCAGCTGGTCTGGTCACATCTAATTATCCAGTGTCGATCTGATTTGAGAAACACTGATAAGAAGAATCTGATTAGGATAATCAATGATGGACTGGCAACCTGTCAAGGGTGGGTTCCGTCTCTTGCCCAATTACTGCTGGAGATAGGCACCAGCCCTTAGTGACCCTGCAAGGATAAGTGGCTATAGACAATGGATGGATGATTAGGATATCAACATGCTGTGAATGGTACACAAAAGCTTTGCTGGTGCATGAAGCGCTGAATGCATTTGGATTCCCTGCATGAGGATCATGAGACAGTGCTGAGCCCTGTGGAAACCTCTAGGAAATTCACTTCAGGTAAAGTGTGGAATTTGTTAGGTACACCCCTTTGGTTCTACAATCCCACCTGCATGATCTGAAAACCTGCACAGCCCGTGATCTTGGCAGATCATCTTGTATGGTTTGTAAGGACAAAGTGATTTGTAATTAAGGGTTCATGGTTGTATGTTTATTATGGAACATATTATGGAACATTTGAAAGGTGCTTGTGTTTACTAATGCTACTGCAGACTGCCACTGCCAACTACTGTTAGCTTGGTGTTAAACATTTGTTCTGACATCTCTTCACATTACCTACTTGTTGAATAACAGAAAATTGGGCCCTTTGCTTTAGGTTCTGGATCATGATCATTAGTCTTGTTTTCTGCTCCCTGTCACAGCTGCTTCACATTTACCAATCATTGCACCTGTCCCTCGTTAGTCATTATCTTCCCAGTTTATTTAGGCTCCTTGGACTTCTGTTGATCTTTGTTATTCATTTGCATGTCTCACAGTAATTCCAACTGTTAACTGCCATTGTCCCGTTTATTTAAAAACCGTAAGTAAAATACATTTGCTCCCTTTGTGTTGTTTATTTTACCTGCATTCCAGGTCTCTCTTCCCTTATCCCTTACCCCTTATCCACAATAAAGCCTTGGCTCTGTCACACTTTTCCACTTTCCTTTTCTACAGAATCCCATATGATTTTTGTTGATGCACTTTCAGTTGTCATTTTGGTCGAATATGTTTTTTTAAATTTTCTAACGTGATGCTTCTCAAGTGGTAGACTTGTCAGCCAGTGCTTCAGAAGTTAGGGAGATAATGGTGTCTTCTCTTACTGTCAGCTTTCAAACTGATTTTAAATGCAGACGTCTTTATGTCAGATACATAGATGAAAAGAAAAACTCGGGGTAAGGTGACATCATTTCACATTTTATCAGTGTCTTATCGTTTTCTTAAATGTCTGCTAGCTTTGGGATTATAAATTATGGGTACGGGTTTATATCATTGGCCTGTTTCCCAAAGGTAGCAGCTTGGTACCTAGGGAGGTGGGACGAGGTTGACTATTAGCATGAATAGTCTGTCAGATGGACATAGCAACTTTACTCAAATGTATGTTTACATAAATAGTAACAAGAGAACAATGCTTTTTACAAGTGAAGATTCAACACTATAATTAATGAGAACATATACAAAAAACAGCTGAAACCAAATGCTATAAAATGGTTATATTTCCTTTATTTTTGCTGGTGCAGGTAGATAATTATGCTAGTAAGTGTGTTCAATGGTCTTTATTTTGATTAATATAAGGATGTGTGTTTAATATTGGTTATTTGCCACTGTAAAAAGTTCTCTGTTGTTTTTTGAAACAATAACAGTATCGCAATTTGTTGGTTTGAACAAAGTCAATGAAGAAGTGTTGATACACTCAGACAGTTTAGGGTTGTGTACAGCAGCATTCAACCCAAATCAAGGATGTGTTATCTGTATTGTATTGGTTTATTTGTCATATGCAGGTTAACACACAGTCAATGCAATGAAATGCTTGGAATAAGAACTGTTCAACTCACTATAAAAACAAAAAAAGCAATGGCTACATTTTGTAAAATATAAAAAAGTACACATGGTGCAGCAGCAATATGCTAATAAAGTGTCACAAATGTGGTTTGGTGCAGTATTATTGTCCAGAGTTCAGTAGTCTGACAGCTTGTGGATAATAACTGTCTTTAAGTCTTTTTGTAGGTGCTGGCAGGCACCTGTACCGCCTGCCAGAAGGAAGCAGACGGAAAAGTACTTTTGCTGGGTGAGTGTGGTCTTTGATGATGCTGCGTGCTTTACACAGACACCGGCTGCGGTAAATGTCCTGGATGGGTGGGAGACTGCTGCCAGTGATGCCCTTTGCCGTTCGCACTGTATGCACTGCTCTGTGTGCCTGTCCATAACCAATTTAGCTTGTGTAAGTTTGAGACCTTAATTCTCAACCAGAATAAAGGTAAACTACTCCCTCCAGGTCGGGTTCAGTTTGGTATCTTGTTCAATGGTAAAATGAAGCTAGATATGGATAGATGAATTGGGGTTACATCTGCAGAAATGCAGACATTACTCTAATAAAGTAACCAATTTCTATGCTTTACTTGTAAGCTGAAAACAAAAATCTCCAAAATAATTGAATATAAATGCTCACATGCAGAGTGACATTATTTGTCACTGTCACTGCAGCTTCACACATTCTGTTATTAAAAAACAGCTAATCCTGCCAACAAAGTAGTAATACTGTCAACAAGACAAAATGATATAGAGAAGAGCAGTGTTAAGTAGAATCAGACAATAGATTGCACCATGTAGTAGACGAGCAGCACTGATGTCATGGTTGATTGGAGCGTAAATGTAGGGATATGGGAGAGTAATTCTGGGGAGTCATTCACTCGTTATGAGCTGACTTGCAATCTGTGACTTACAGTACATTAATGCCTGTTTGCTCATTTTAAAACACTGACATGGGTTTCCTCGCAAAAGTATTCACACCCCTTGAATCTTTTCACATTTTGACATTGTTGAAACTACAAATGTCAATCTCTTTTTATTCAGTTTTTATTACAGACCTTCACAAAGTAGTGAATAATTGTGACGTCAAAGCCAAGCCAAGCCAACTGTAATTATAAAGCACTTTAAAAACAGCAGGTACTGACCAAAGTGCTGAGCAACTAGAATGATTAAATGAACAAAACATTAGATTTTGAAACAAATAATGAAATAGAAAACAAAACTAAAAGTAGGAACTAGAAATATGAAAAATAAAATAAAATTATACCGAGTCATTTAACACAGAATCAATAGTTTCAAATAAAACGTGGCTTGTGACAGTGTACAATGACATTTAATAAATACTTTCTTTTTGCATGTTTTACAGTCACCTGATAGTGGTGCCAACAGTCCTGCAATATTTGAAATGGCACATGCAGCTTGTCCTTTCCCGATTTCCGTTCAGCTTTCCGGCACTCATGTCTAACCATACTAGTGGTGTCGTTCAGCCAGGTCTGAGCTTTGATTTTAGCTTGTCTGGTTTTTATTGGAGCCACATCAGCTAATACAGTTTGGCAGCAAGAGTGAAACCAGGAGCTAAGCCCCCTGTATGCGATGACAGAGACTCCAGCAAGACACATTACTGATTAAACAAAGATGAGAACTGCACAGCAGTGGATGGATTGATAGCACTTTGCTGCTGCGCAGGAGTGAAAGGTTTAACACAGCAGCAGGTAAAGTGATTTCAAATAACACAGGTTTGTGATCAGAAAATACTGCATTAAACATCATCAAGTTACATCATCAAGTTTGAAACAGACAAACCAAAAGATAGGACAAGGTCCAAAGTGTGGCCACATACTTGTGTTGGTCCAAACACCCACTGTGTGAAATAAGATTATATTAATCTTAAGAAGTCCTTAACCAGGGATTGTCGGGAGAGAATAGATCCAAATACAGTCTCAGATGCCCCAAATGTGCAAAAAATGTTTGCCGAACAAGCCTGCAGTCACACAAGCCTATCGCTGCATTAGATCTGGAGTGGGGCAGAGGTAATCAAGGACATCAGACAATAATGGAGGCAAAGTCCTCTTGTCTTTTTAATCCAACATCGAAATGACAAAAATTTGTAGTAGAATATGCTGAAGGGTTTGGCGATCACACACCAGTATAGTGTTAATATTTTGATTTTAAAATGCCAAAAACAGCACAGGTGCAAACAGAGCAGACAGTGACAGATGGCAAGCCGTACACACTGGCGCCATCTTGGACAACGTAAAAAGTTTGAGTGATTCAATCAATGATCAGTCAAAGGCAAATTAAAATCTGAAAAGTCTGCAGTTGAATTTAGCAAAAAATACTTTGCACAATACTATGCAGCATTAGCAGCTGAATAGTTTTCTTAGCTATAGGCTACAAAGTCGCTTTGTGCACCGTGAGAAGTTTTCACCCATTTTTCCTTGCACAATAGCTCAAGCTGCGTCAGACTGGATGGAGAAAGAACAAACATTTATTTCCACAAATTCACAATTTGATTAAAGTCTGGAATTTGACAGGACCAATTTCAAATTGCAAATGGGACTTCTTATGGTTCTCTTTGTCTTTGTTACAACTTACAGGCTACATTTGTGGACTTAACAACTAATACTTGTCCTGTAAACAGATTCTTGCAACTGAGCTGTGAAGCTCTGCACTCCTTCAGAGAAACAAGAACCTCTTGGTTGCTCCTCTGTGTATTCTTTTCCATCCAGTTCACAATTATACTCTGTGTTGCTCTTTCACATAAAGTCCAAATAAAATGCATAAAAATTAGTGGCTGAAATGACAAAACATGAAAAAGATTAAGAAGTATGAATTTGTTTGAAAGACACTGTAAAATATTCTCAATGGTATAGCTTTAGGGCTGCATGATGGTGTAGTTGGTAGCACTGTTGCCTTCCGGCAGGAAGTGTCCTGGGTTCGACTCCCAGCTGGGGGTCTATCTGTGTGGAGTTTGCATGTTCTCCCCATGCATGTTTGTGTTTTCTCCGGTACTCTGGCTTTCTTCCACAGTCCAAAAACATGACTGTTTGGTTAATTTGTCTCTTTCAATCGACCTTAGGTATGAATGGGTGTGTTCATGGTTGTGTTGTCCTGTGATGGACTGGGGACCTGTCCAAGGTGTACCCTGCCTCTTGCCTGTAGACTGTTGCAGATAAGCACCAGCTCCCCCCGCAACCCTATGTGGAAGAAGCAGGTATAGAGGATGGATGGTAGTTTTAGCAAATGAAGCTATGATCAGTTGGAGTTTTGTATTTGTATTTTACCTACTGGTTGCTGATGTTTCAGCTAAAGTATAAGTTGGCTAAAGCTATCACCATAAAGTCTTCTTTTTTTACTTTCTCATTTCACAAGGATGTTTATGTGTAATAAAACTTTTGTAGCAATAAACTTTTTTTTGCAAGGTCAGCTGAAGTTGATTTGTCATAGAGTTGTGCGACTAATCTCACACTTATCCAGGGCATTTTTTTAGAGCTAAGAAGTATCTTTGACAGAATATGACTCCAAGCCAGGTACATACTGTACTGTAATCTGATGAAAATTGATCCAAAAGTCTGATCTTTGGTTAGGGCTATTTTGGACAGCACGAGAACTAGGAATACCATATCCCTTTTTAATCCCGTTTTAATTTCTAACCAAAAAACATTACCTTTACATATATAGATTGGAGGGAATTCAGAAACTTAGCTAGGAATATTCAGCAAGAACAAAGATTGCATTTTACAAAACTGAGCCACAAATCTGAGTATTCTTTGAAATATTTGTCGTCTAAATCTGACAATAAGGTCAGACCTTTATTAGGCAGATATGACAAGCGGTGTACTTAACACTTTCAGGATATCCAGAATTGTCTTCTGGGATGAAAAAAATAACACCTCGAGCCTTACTGAGGAGGAAAAAGTGGATGTGATTATATTTCCTGACAGACAACAAAACCTATAATAAAATACAATGAGCACAAGCAGAAATCTACAGTCTTGCATCTATTTAAGGAGGAATTTTCAGGAGGAGAACATTGTAAACCGGCGATGTAGCCCCGAAAGGCCGTGGCTCAGAATTCCTCGACTCTTAACAAAAACACAAGAAATCAATGAGACATTTTGCTGTGAACTGCAGATGAACTTGCTCTTGTTTATGGATTTTAATTAGGGCCAAACAGTCTCATGAATTTATGTAAAGCCCTCATCCGCTGCTGTGGGAATTGGACCTGTAATGCTCGCCGTGGAAAAGGTCCTCACTCTCCTGCCAAAACACTGCCCAGAGTTTTCCCCTCTGCACTGCGTCTCATCTTTAAGTCCCTTTTCAGAGAGACTGCAGACTTTTTTCCTCTTCACTGGATGCTAACATGAATGACACAAGAAACTGATCACTGATTCCTCCCCCCTGCTACACAGAGGCACGTCAGACAAGGAAGCGGACAAGATGTAAAATCGGAACTCTGAGACCAAAGTTGGCCAATTTGAATAATGCGCACATACGAGAACAGATTCTTTCCCTGACTCTTTGATGTGTTTGCTGTGAAAAGATGACTCCTGACAGTATCAGATTAAACCCCCCAGACTGGCAAAAAAGCAAGAATTCAGGGAGAGGGGAACAAAGAAAAGAAAAATAACATTGCTGCAGTTGTAATCTCACTCTACCAAAGACCTAAAGCTCAACACTGGCAGCAAATGATGTATCAGCCACAGTGGAATGTTTAATTGGGCACCCTCTGAGAAAATCGCGTGTCACTCTACAGGATTGGGAATTGGTTTAGAGGGCTGTTTGTTGGCTACTTTACAGACTTGATGTGTCATGTTGCACAAACCACTATCTGCATGGTGGTGTGAGGAAAAAAAATAGAAAACAGAATAAAATCAATTCATGCTGAGGCAACAAGGTAATAAACTGCAGTGGGCTTCAATTGGGAGCATGTTTGATATTTTTGAACAGATTATCCAATCTTCGTCCCTTTTTCCTGACATCTCTCATAACGCAGTACCCTTTTAAAATTCAAATGATCCTCCAGGATGCTGAGATTAGCATCTTGAAATATTCATGAGAAGTTTCCCGAACTTGCATTGTGCACCTGATAGGGGGTGAACAGGTAGCATATCAAAACAAGCTCTGTTCATTAATTTTTCACATTCACTTGAGAGCAGATGAGAAAATCTTCTGTGTTGCATATGACCATGTTCTGCCTTTACAGTCAGGTTTTGTTTTTATACAGTAATTTCAAAGATAATTTAGTTTAAACTATAACTGCTCTTGACAAAGAAGTGCTTTAACTGACCGCCTTGCAGAGAATTTGAAGCCTGAACCTTCAAAGCCTGATTTACCTTCTGCCTCTACTCAGTAGGCCCAGTGTGGGAGACCAGCATGCTGAGCAACCTGAGGCTCTTTGGAGGGAAATTGAAATTTTCTGCAGGGTGTAAAGGAAGGGAGTCTTTCAAGGGCCTGGTTCACACCTCCCCTTTGTCCCAGCATGGTAGATTTTAAATAAGGGGGCAGAGTCTGTCAGAACCAAGCCATCCTTACAACAAGTACAGCTGGAGGTTTGTAAAACGTGACAAAGAAGACCAAATTTTGCTATGGGTTCTCAGAAGTTTCATAAAACAGTGGGAGAGGTGCAGTTGGGATAACATAGGGACAAGCGCTGAATGCTGTCTATCAGCAGTGTTTGAGAATGATGTTTGACATGTTCTTGACAGTGTTCTTCAGCTAACCTCATTTAGCCACCTGTTGACATTGATTTTAATTTTTCAAGGCCCCCAGTTAATTCTCTCTGTACAACGCAAGTCTTTCAGGCAGGTTTTGACATGTGACATTCTGATAATTAAAAGTTCTGTTGTCAGGGCCCTGCTGAGACCCGAGAAGATTGAGAAAATACACAAATGTTTAAAGTGGAGGACAGAGAAATTGTGCAAATAAAATTTCACAAACTAAGGCAATAATTTAAACTATTCAAAGTCCACTGCATTAGTTTGTTTTGGCCGAAAAACACATATCAAAATATACTTATTATACAGTGTTAAACAGTTAAAAATGTTTACACCTTTATTAGTCACAATGTCTAAAATTGTAACTGCGAACCAGAACTGTAGGAGTAAAACAGTGTTCTCTGATGCATTTCTCCGACGCTTGTCTCTAGTACACGATTTTGAATAAAGCAAAAAGTTTTGCAGGAGTGACAGCGAATGTGAATACATTTCCCACCTCCTCCGCAAAATTACAAAGGAAAACTGGAAAGACTAACGGCAGCCTTGACGCCACAGAGACAAGCTGCTGCCAGATGTGGTTCCAACTTGTTGCCCACAGAAACTGAAAAATCCTTTTCACTCCAGAGATCATGGATGTGGGATGGAAAATCGAATTCCACAAGCAAATGTCATTCAGACTGAAAGGTAAAGATGCATGTCAAGAAAGAAAAAAACGATGAAAGTGTCCAATTTTTAAACCACTGTTCATATAGCAGATTTCTTTTCATTTTCTTGCATCACTCCTGCATTTGGTTTTGCTGCATGTGCAGCCAATTCACAGATTGTAACGATCTTTTTGTGACTCACAGTTTTGACCACCTATTTTATTATTTTAGGATGCCACACAACTAGACAATTATTGAAAAAAAAATACACAACTGTAATGATGTTTTAGACTTCTTAAACTTTGTGTAGGTAAAGCACATACAGAATACCTGAAAAAACTGCAAACTGTTGAAAACATTAAACTAACTAAAAGTGAGCCAATGCTATGTTTGACTTGGATCTCAAATGTAAATGGTAAATGGACTGAATTTATATAGCGCCTTTCCAGTTATACAGACCGCTCAAAGCGCTTTACACTAGAGCCACATTCACCCAATCTCACTCACTAACGCTCACACATTCATACACCGATACGCAGATCGGCAGGCAACTTGAGGTTAAGCGCCTTGCCCAGGGGCACATTGACATATGGCAGGCAAAAGCTGGAATCGAACCCACAACCTTCTGATTGCAAGACGACTACTCTTCCTACAGTCGCCTTGATCTGTTGTGGGGAAAAAATTTTAAAACAAACTGATTATGTGTTCCCTCGTGTTCAAATGTATTCTTTTTTTTCCAAAAAACACTTCATCTAAAGCTGGCTAAAATCTTCTAAAACCTTTTGGGAGAAGGTCTAACAGGGTATTGAAACCAAAGTTGAACATCTAGGTCATAAATCCAAAAGGTGTGCTTGGCACAAAAGCACACTTCACCAAAAGAACACCACACCTGTAGTGAAATATGGTGATGGCAGCATAATGATTTGAGGTGGACAAAATTATGAACAGTGTCAAATTCTAGTCAGTTTTGACCCTAAGCCTTATGGTGTCTGCTAGATACCTGAAGGTGAAAACTGGCTTTTATTTGTTTGGCATCACACTGAGTCTATTACATACAGTAGAACAAAATAAATGGTTTTATTGCAAGATCTTCAATAATTGTAATAGCAGAACATCAGTACAGTAACCTGAAGAGGACTGTGGACAAGACTCTCACAACCTGATGGATTTTGAGAACCTTTACAAGGTAGAGGGTAAACATACAGTACTGTGCAAACGTTTTATCCAACTGTGAAATAATGCTGTAAATAAAGAATGCTTTCAGAAATATAAATGATGATTGTTTATTTTTATCAATTTACAAAATGCTAGGTGAGCAAACCCAAACATACAGCCAAAGTCCTTAAGAACTATCTTCAGCGTAAAGAAGAACAAGACTTACTGGAAGTGTTGGTATGGCCTCCATAGAGCCCTGATCTCAACATCATGGAGTGTGTCTGGGGTTACATGAAGAGACAGAAGGATGTGAGAAAGCATACATCCACATAAGATCTGTGGTTAGTTCTCCAAGATGTTTGTGACAACCTGCCAGCCAAGTTTCTTCAAAAACTGTGTGCAAGTGTACCTAGAAGAATTGATGGTGTTTTGAAGGGTGGTT